GAGAGAAGAAGGCATGTTCTGTAAGGTCTCTGCAATTTGAGACTATAATCAAAATGTCATCAGCCTGCCTCTTGTATTTTCAATCTCTTAGGAAAATGACTAAAACTGGTATAACATTTTCAGATTAATTTTGATGCTTCCATCAGAAAGCGTGACATTTGGCTAATGTCAGGCATCACCTACATTGTCATTTGATTTCCCTCTTCCCTCTTGGGTGTCACTTCACTAATGACCTAGAGGTGGTAATGAAACACAATACACTGATGAAAAACAAAACTTTTGAAAATTAAGCATAAGTACTTAGAAATTAGAAAGTGTAAATACTCTCTTCATTATTGAATTAGCACGTATTAATTTGTACTGTATCAAGTAATCAAATACTGCAAAAATCTGCATCAGAACATATCAGTAAGGAACAGCATAAGCCTGAAGTTTTACAGTTACGGCACTGTTTCTGCCCCTCCCTTTCATGTGACAAGTGCACAAATCACTTAGTTCCTGTCTCCTCAGGTTTTCAGTTATAAAGTTAGGGGACTTGTCTTTTCCTATGACTCTTCACTACAGCTTACTTAAAAACAGATTCTCCAAAACGATCACTAGCTATACTAAGCATTTGTAATGTGCAATCACAATGGCAGCTTGCTCTCAGCTGCCACTGTAAAACATCCAAACAACACTAACAAGAATAAGGGTCAATGAACCTTCACCATCCTGCTCATCCTGGGGCTAGGAAGAGACAATCAATTTCCCCATCGGCTATCTAATCTAACAGAGAATATCCACACACACAAAACATTGGCTGAACCTTTAACAGTTCTGAGTAACATTGAAAATGTGTGAGATGTGCATAAAAATACTAGAATCTTCTTGAAAATCTGACACCACTACTCTATGGCATTGCCATATTCTGTTTTCTGGAAGCTTCTTGGCATTGTGAGTAAAGGATTTTAGACAGTCCCTTTACTTGTACACAGTACTTGTATGCATGGGTTTCCTTCTCCTACTAGTCATACTCATACCTCCTAGAGTTTATCAGCTTTGTCTGCACTTCAAACACAAGGAATGAAAAACATTAAACATATACCTTGCAAAATCTGCAAAATTTACAAAGGACTTCTTTTAAGTTCAGCTTCTAATTCCCATATATAGTTCTTACAATTCACATTTAAAATCTCACATGAGACAATGATTTAAAAGATTTAAAAACTTCTCATCTCAGCTTAGAAAAAAAGCTCCAAAACACTGATGCCAAGTCTTTCTTATGATTTTACAAAGTTCAATTCATGAGAATAAAATACAAGAATTTCTGTAGCCTATACTGAAGTACAGCATCAATTAAACCTGCTGAAATCTTGCCTATGGGACTCAGTGGACAATTTGAGGACATGGATTAGGTTAAAATCCTTTGGTAAAAACTTTCTTGGCAATAATCAAGAGGACATGCCCACACACTTATGGTATATAGTTAATCTCTTTTCCTTCCTTTGAAGCTCTTGGAAATTTGCGATTCGAATCACGTGCCAACGATTGTATGAAACAGCCTCTTTGTCTCCTTCCATGAAACATCCCATGATACCATCTGCACACAATAGTACACAAAGAATGAATAATCCCACCTTCTTTTGAAAAATGGCATAGAAATGTAAATTATTTAGGACATGTATAATGAAGCATGGCAATAGATGCAAACGGATTTATGGAATCAAAGACATTCAAAATGGTAAAGAACCTTAGGAGATCATGCGGGCAACACTGCTTCAGATGTTCTTGAAGGCACCAAGAGGAATTTTGTCTCAAAGCTGCACTGCTCCTCTGTTAGTTCTAAAAGGTGCAAAGGCCTCTAAAGAATACAGAACATCTACCTAATACATGATTAGAAAAACATCCTGCTAGTGAAGTCACTGATAGAGCGTGCTGGGATCTCATGGGCGCATATCAAACCCAGCAGCTACCCAGTATAACAGCACCACTGGGAAGTGCAAGCCCATAGGGTGCTATGTCCAAATCTACTCCTCTGGGAGACCAATTTAGAATATCCCTACGTGAAAGAAAGGAGAGATTTTTACATAATGAACCACTGCTCATCTGTCAGGGAACAATCAAAGGCTATGTCTACTTTCTTTTTTCAAGTATATACTAAATCCTACAGAGTTTCAGCTGTCTCATACCAACTCAGTATGGTAGTCCCCTTTTCTTCTGTCCAGTCGCATTGTTTTTCACCTTTTTTTCTTGCAGTGAATATCTCAAATCTGTTTTAATTGCTTCACATTCCTGACTATCAATATGGAAGACATTTACCCCTAAGACAGACTGAACTTCACCATTCTTCCTTCCTCGGCTTTTCCTCTTTTCTTAACTGTTCTCCAGTAAGTCCTAGATTTCCCCCTAATTTAAAATGAAGCTTGAATAAATGCCCACATTTTCCCTTTGAGGAAGAAAGACAATACAGCTCAGGATGGAGCAAAAACATGAAGCACACTGATTATTTGGGCTCTTGTTTTTGCTGATATGAATTTATTACTCTGTATGGTATAAAGGCTTGGAAAAGGTGTGCTCACAGGATTAAATTCATGTCTATAAAAAAAGAGTCATTCGGTGTCTGCTGGTTGTAAATTTGGGCAGCAATAAACGTTTGGCACCAATTGCTTACATACTGCTGACAGCTTTGCTATGCACCTAAAATGTAACAGATAACGTGCAACTTTATTCGTATAGTGCACACCTAATCTGGTGAGACTGCCTTAAAATAAATAGGGCTTGGCTCTTCTTTCCTTTCTGGGTAACCGCAACTCACTCTCTTTTACTTCAAACTTCCATTTTACAATCCTGAGTTGGACCTAGACTACGAAATGAGCACATATTGCCATTAAAAGAGTCAAAATCAGTTCTTTTAGCTTCAGAGCATTATCCACAAATTTGACAAAAAGAGTGATGGAGTAGATCATTAAATTCCATATTATGCCATCCATTCTCAGAGTTCTACACCTAGCCTTGTCAGCTACACTAACAAGCTAGAAACTACAATTGAAGTTGCCTCATTTAATCTAAATCCAAAACATCTGAAACTGATAAAAATGAATACCAAATATTTCTGTAAAAAGCAATAGTAATTACGGTGATATTTGCAAAAGACTATAGTGAAATTAGATTATCTTCTAACCCATTTCTTGCAGTCCTCTTTACTGCATACTAGATAATACAGACTGAATAAAGCTCGTCAGAATGTACATGTTAAAAAAGATGAACCAGACCTTGCACTGCATACTGGATAATACAGACTGAATAAAGCTCGCCAGAATGTACAAGTGTAAGCATGTTAAAAAAGATGAACCAGACCTTGCCACTTCTTTCTTAACTTGCAGCCCCAACCTACATTTTGGTTCTAATTGAGGCCTTCTATCATATAAATCTTCTGAATAGAAAAGTACAGTAATGCCAAAATACTAGTCTGCTGTGCATGCATCACTATATAGCTACATTCCTGGTGAGAAAAAAAGAAAAATATTTCAGAGAGCGTGTCAGAAATACTTGAAAGAAAATCTGATTGCTGAAAAAGAGAGCAGAAATGCTATGAAACTATTAGGAAACACTGACCTTAGAGAGTTTATTGTATGAACAGTATCAGTTAAAGGGTTCTTTTTGAGGAGATCAGGTTTGCACCATAAAAATACAGCGCTCTCACATAAATCAAGCAGAAAACAATTACTATGTGAAGCAGTAGGACTCAAAGCTACCAAATCAGCAGAATGGATCTCATGACTTTGCCCTCTTACTTTCACTCCGCTTCTGCTCTTTAAAAGTTTGATAAGGCAGTTCCCTTCCAAAGAAGGAAGAAAAAAGGCAGAAGTTCTGCGCAGCTCACCAGAGATTTTGTTCCAGGTAACAAGTATTCATGGACATTTCTTAGGTGCTAGAGCAACAGGAGAGGGGAGCAGGAGATAGTGGACGAGGCACAGCCACACAGTAGCTCTGCGAACCCACCAGTCCCAACCCAAGCACTGCAAAGGACAAGGACATCCTCACATAGCCCAGGACGCACAGCAACCAGCCTCTTGGCCATCAGCTCCCACACAGGCAGGGGAGTTCATTGCTTTTCCTCAAATACTATGAAAAAGTGGTCACACAGACGAGAGTTTCACCATTGACCCTCAACCTGCAAAGCCTCTTCATTTTTCTTTTTCAGCAAGAGAAGACTTGGATGAATTTGCATATGGAGTTCTACAAACCAATAAAACCCTTGTATTTATTTTCTTTTTCCCATATTAGCATAAAATGATACTACCCCCTTAACAGACAGGGGCACAATATGAACACAATTTTCATGCTCTCCACCAGTAACAGGATAAGAAATGACCAAACTCTTCAGCAACACACTAACCACTGCATCATGCGCTCTTTTTTAAATTGTCATATGTGTTATACAAAGTGGGCTACTTGTCCAGCACAAAAAGCAGCAAAAACTTAATCCTCACAGTAGAGTCTTCATAATTGATGAAAAAAAGGGTTTGATTCAGGATGTGGGTCTCAAAGCCAGGGTCTCTGCAGCTCCAACCTCAGCCTCAAACTTCTGCCATGGCCACATCAATGACAGATTTCCAGAAGCTTCTAGAAAGACCTCACAGCTGCCACATCGGATCCCTATTACCCAGGGCTGCCACAACTGACCGAGAGACAGGTAGAAAGAACCAGTCGAGGAGCGCGGCAAAACCGCACTCTCCAACGAAGGGAGGGCCCGACAGCAGCACACACCTACCGGCTCCCGACAGACGAACGGCAGCCACCTCCTCCTCCGCCTCCTCCTCTCAACCAGCCGCGCGGAGGCGGGAAACGGTCTCCTCCTCCGTCGGGCGATGGCCAGGGGAACACGGCACATA